AATCCAAGCACACAGACTCTGAGCTTTTCTCCAGTGTTTTGAATTGTATTATTGGCATCCTCTGAATGGATGGTCTACCGGCTAAAATTCTGCATGAATTCTGGGGCGTTCTATCCCCCATTAGCTAGCGAGTTGTTTTGCATGGTGAAGGTTCTAACTCTGACCTCAACTTACGGTACTGAGTAGATCTATAAGCACCTCAGTAAAGAGTTCTAGTTGACTCAGGAACTAAAAAAGCTAGTCAGGGGTGAACTGGGGAGAGAGGAAAGATAAGGTGCTGAATTCTCTAAAGGGAAGCCCAAGACGTGGAAGTTAAGACCTGCTCTGAAAAGAGGTAGACGGCCTTGGCCCTTAAATAAGGCCATTAAATAACTTTGAGCCATGACACAGATGTGGAAATTGCTGAAAAAGGAGCCGAGATGTTTAAAGGAACTTTGCCTTGAAGAATGAAATTTCATGCTGCTCTGTAAGAGGCTAGATGCCGCTAAAATGCTTGCTAGCCTATGACAGATTACACTGCACCGGTACAATGAAACATTGTTTTGAAGTAAATCTCCCCAGCTCCATAAAACTGACACTCAGTGGCTCAACTTGCTAATTTTTCACCCATTTAGGTTCTGCCTGACGTTGAAAAAGTTGACGTTGTTAGATGGTATTAAGTTCTCTGTGCTCCTTAAGCTTCTGAGAAAGCATTCAATTGCTGTTATGTGGATTAATCCAAGTTAAATATTTGTGGCACAAACACGAGAAGACTGTCTTTTGCCGGGCCTGGCGTAATAGCCTAGTGGTTAAAGTCCTCACCTTTAAAGCACACCAGGATCCCGTCTGTGCACTGGTTCTAATCCCAGCAGCCCCGCTTCCCATCCAACTCCCTGCTTGTGATCTGGGAAAGCAGTCAAGGACGGCCCAAAGCTTTGGGACCCTGCACCCGTACAGAAGACCTGGAGGAGCTCATGGCTCCTGGCTTCAGATTGGCTCAGCTCCAGCCACTGTGGCCGCTTGGGGAGTGAACCATCGGATAGATCTTTCTCTCTGTCTCTCCTGCTCTCTGTGTATCTGCCTTTCCAATAAAAATAAATCTTTTTTCAAAAAAGACCGTCTTTTGCCTTCCCATTGAACAGAATTTCAGATATCAATTTGGTTTTCTAAAGAAACAAAACCCCACATCCTGGGGATACAGTACTTTATGATACCTTGAATGCTGAATTTTACCAAATTTAGGAGGAAAAAAAAAAAAAGGACCAGAAGCCATCAAGAGAACACCTTTTTTTTTTCAGATTTGGGGAATGATAGGAGAATAAGTTACCCAGTGGTTGCATGTACATCCATCATCTCCCACCCCTGTGAGCAGATGAAACATGTGGAACCCAGCCAGGAGACAAAGGGACTTCTCTCACCCTATTGCTCTCCCTCACTTGAAGTATCTGATGCTATCTTGGATAACTCTTGAACTCTTGGCAAGTTGCTAAAGCTGAGAAATGTGCCACCAGACCTTCTTAACAGTTTTCAGAGACCAGGTTCACTTAGCTGGGTGGTCTCACAGGAGTTTGAGCCATTTGTCCTCGGTACCAAAGGCTCATGTGACTCCTACTAACTGAGCAAATCTCAGACTGCATCTGCCTTCTTGAGGGTAGAAGAATTGGTGATGCCCACCTCACAGGCTGCACAGCCAGTAAAAAGTGAGGTGCAGAGAGCTCCGGCAGTGGGGTAACTGCCTTTGGCTCATCTTCTGGAGCTTGCTCTAGTCAAAGAAATCCAGCCAGCCTGTGAGCTAGAACTGGGAGTATTCCAGTCTCAAAATCATTGTTTTCAATATCATGGCCAGTTTGTCTATCACTAAAATAGGTAAACATCTTCCCCTCACAGGCATACTCCTTTATATCCACTACTATGAATTGACCATTGTATGTTGAGAATCAGACTTAACTGCCCCACTGCAGAGATTTCTAAACTTTGTTGTGTGCTGGGATCACCTATAAAGCTTTTAAACAACCACTCCCCCCCCACACACACACACAAGGTTTGGGCCAGCATTGTGGAATATCAGATTAAGCTGCTGCCTGTGTGACATCCCCTATATGTGTCAGTTCATGAGTCACAGCTGCTCCAATTCTGTTCTAGCTCACCACCAATTTGCCTGGGGAAACTTTGAAGAATAGGCCAAGTGCTTGGTTCCCTACCACACATGTGGGAGATCCAGGTGGAGTTCCAGGCTCTTGGCTTTGTCCTGGCCCAACCCCAACTATTGTAGCTATCTGGAGAATCTGTGTTAACAGCTTGGATACAGGATCTCGTGTGTGTGTGTGTGTGTGTGTGTGTATGTGTGGTGTGTGTAAAACTCTTTCATAGAAATATACCTTGTTAAAATTGAAACATACCAATGTCGTGTTATAGCCCATATTAATTAAATCAGAGTGTCTAGGAATGAAGCCTGGATATCATCACTTTTCAAACACTCTCAGGTGATTGTGCCACACAGAAAAATTCATGAATCCTTCCCAGCTCCCTTCTACATAAACCTGTCCCTATTAATTTTTCTTTAATAAAATATATCATTGGATGGTGGTGACAGAAAAGGTTAAGCTGAGGCTTGGGATACACACATCTCACATCAAAGTGTCTGGTTCCAGTCTTGGCTTCTCTGCTTTTGATTTTGCTTCTTGCAAATACACCTGGGAGACAATATTGGTCCAAGCAGTTGAGTTCCTGTCATCCACATGGAAGACCAGATGGAGTTGCTGGCTTATGACTTCAGCCTGCTCCAGTCCTAGCTCTTAACACACATTCAAGGAGTAAGTTTGCAGATGGAAGGCCTCTGTCTCTCCCTTTCTCTCACTCTGGTTTTGTTTTCAAATAAATCTTTTAGAAGGAAGGAAGGAAGACAAAGAATGGGAGATAGAGAGGAAAGAAAAAGAAAAAAGGAAAGAAGGAAAGGAGGGAAGGTGGGAGGCAGAGAAGAGAAGGAAGGAAAAGAGAATATCTAGGAGCAAGCACTTCGCACAGAAGTCACGGCACAGCTTGACACACAGCCCATACCAGAGTCTGGACTCAAGACCCAGCTCTACTTGATTCTAACTTCCCGCTACTGTAGCAGGTCTGGTTACTCAAGTAGTGAGGACTCCTGACACACACAGGAATTCTGCAATGAGTTCCTGGGCAGCTCTGGCAGTTTCAGGCAAGTGGAAAGTGAAACACGAGACTGAAACTCCCCCTACTCTGCCTTTCAAATAAAGTAAAAATTAAATAATTAAGTATGTCCAATTTCACAGAAGATCCCAAAACTTCAGACCCACTATCTCCCTCTAGTAGGCCTAGATGTCACCATGATCATCTCCTGAATCAAACTGGGAGTGTGAATCATGAGTGAGTAGAGTGAACCCCTGGGTAGAGAGGTGCGGTCAGGATCGAGGACAGCAGAGAGCACATCATCCCAACCTGGGTGATGCACAGAAAAAAAATAGAAAAAGAGATTTCAGGATCAAATAAAATTGGACAAATTTTAGGCTCACCGAAGAGAAGTAGATTCCTTCCTTGTGGGACTTCTCAGACTCTTTAGGGGAGAAAAGGCTCACTTATCTGCTGCCAGGGCTTGTGTCAGCACTTCCTCTGGGGACACATTCCCCTTTCTCCAAGTGCTTCAAGCACTAGTGGTGCAAGAAAAGATACTCTGAGACACCTACACCAGTGTTAAAATGCTATTCCCCCCAGGGGACATTTGGGAATGTCTGGAGACAGGTTGGTAGTCACAGCGGGAGATCAGAATATCCAGTGGGCAGAATCCAGGGGCACAGATTAGCATTAGCTAGCAGCCATCCAGCCTCAAGATCAATGATAGCACAGGTGAAAAGCCCTGGCTTCCAGTGGCCTCTTCTCCCGTAAGCCTCTCTTTCTCCCCAAGACCTCAGAAATGAGAGATGGCATGACAGCAAGAAAGAATGAGAAAGAGAGGTAGAAGAACAAATAAGAGGAGGAGGAAGGGGGAAAAATGAAAATAGATAATAAAATCAGACATAAGGAAGAGACTGGGGGAATGGAGAGAGAAGTTAGATTCATGTGGACACCATCAATCTGTTTCTCTGGTGAGCAGTAAATGATCTGTGGTCCAGTGGCAAGAGAATGGCATTTAGCATTGGAAAGAAATGAGCTATGAAAAAGATCATCAAAGGCAGGTGCTAGTGTTGTGGCACAGCACGTTCAGCCATAGCTTGGAATATCCCCAGCCCATCATCATTTCAGTCCTGGTTGCTCTGCTTCTAATCCAGCGTACTGCTAGTGCACCTGGGAATACAACGTATGATGCTAAGTGCTTAAAGTTCCTGCCATGCACATGGGAGACCAAGATGGAGTTCTTGGCTCATGGTTTCAACCTGGTCCAGCCCTGGTTGTAGCAGCTGTCGGCCTTTCAAATAAACAATAATCTTTTTTTTTTTTTTAACACTCCAGTGATTGTCAGGAGTTAGGGAGATAAGAATGACTGGATAGAGCAGAGAGGATTTTAGGGTCATGGATTCATTCTTTATCATGATGTAACACTGGATGTCTGCCATGGGACATTGGCCTGAACCCACAGAGTATACAGAGGGAGCTGTAACATCAGTCTATTTACTTGGGGTGGTACTGACAGGTTGATGTAGGTACAGCAATTGTCCCTCTCTGTTGAAAGCTGCACAGGAAGGGTAGGGTGGGGGAGAGAAGCTGGGCCCATATGGGGCTTAGGGTCCCAGAGTTTCTGGGAAGTTTGTGTGCTTAGCTTCACTACAGGATCAACTTACTAGGACTGTTTTAAAAAAAGAAATAAAAGAAATGCAGACCGAGTGTTGGAGCGTTCAGTGACCCCAGCCGGTCCTGTCTTTATTACTTCTCTGGATTTAGGAAGGGCCGTGATTGTTGCTCTTCCAGGGGCTGGTGGGGGAGGAAGGCGAGGAAGACAGGGAGGGAGAGAGGCAAAGGATGGTTCAGGCGGGACCTCTGTGTCCCAGTTTACCGCGCTAGCGGCGGCCTCAGATCCTGCTGGGCTTCTTGGGGTCCTTGCCCTTGGCCGGCATGAAGGCGTAGAGCTCCTCAATGAGCATCTCCATGCGGGCCGTGACCTCAGTCACCGTGTCGATGACCAGCTTCTGCTGCAGCTTCAGTTTGTTGTTCTCCCACAGGGCCTTGTTCTCCTCCTGGAAGACGCGGTGCTCCTCGCGCAGCACGTGCAGGGCCCTGTTCTCCTCCTGCAGCAGCCGGTTCTCCTCACGCAGCGCCTGCAGCGCCTGGCTCATCTCCCGCAGCAACTGCAGGGCCTGGCTGCCACCACCACCTCCGCTGCTGTCAGCCAGCCCGGGGCCCACCTTGGTCATCTCCTCTCCAGCAGGCCCCGCCAAGCTGTTGACCATCTCCCTGAGGGCGCGTAGGGTCTTGGCGTCTTCCTGAGGAGTCGAGGGTCCTTTGGGTTCCTCAAAGGGGGAAGAGAGGCCGGGGCCTTGGTCTGGGCTGTGGGATTCCTCGTGAGCCGAGATCACCGGCTTGGTCTCCTCGACTGGGGCGGCCTGATCGTCACCCTGGGCCCAGCAGTAGGCTTGTCTCTGCTCCAGCAACTGCTGCAGTGCGCGGTTCTCCTCCCTGAGCAGGTGCAGCGTGCTGGTCTCCTTGGCGCGCTGCACCGGCGCGGCCACACTGTCCCGCTTCATCACCTCCTGAGACGCGGTGTCCTTATGCAGCAGCGGCGAAGAGGAGCGGCTGTCCTCGCGGCCCAGGGGGGACTTGTGCTCCTCCCAGAAGACTTGCAGAATCTTATTCTCGCGGCGGAGGGCCTTGTTCTCCTCGCGCAGGGATTTGTTCTCCTCACGCAGGGACTTGTTCTCATCCTGCAACAGGTACTCCTTAGCCAGCCGCTTGTGATGCAGCTTGTGGTGGAAGGAGGAGGACGGCGAGAAGTAGGGGGACTGCAGGCGACAGTTCTCGTTCACCCACCGCCCATCCTGGAAGACAAACATCTCGTCACTCAGCTGCACCCGTGGAGGATTGTAGTCCAGCTCCAGGTCCGCCTGCGAGGTGGGGCGCTCCATGGGATCCAAGGGCACGGAGGAGAAGCGGTTGAGCGGATACGAGTGCTGGCTGACTACCCTGCGGCTGGGCCTGGACAGAGCGGCCTGCCTAGAGCAGTGAGGGGTGGTGTACACGTTGTGGAGCCTGAGGAAGGGCTCGGCTGAGCCCCGCTGTGGGAGAGAAGGGACAAGCTGAGCGTTAAGCAAGGACCTATTCGATCTGGGGCTGGAAGTCAGAGAAGCAGCCCAGAGACTTTCGATAACACCCAGGCTGAGCCTCTGGCCTTGCCACAGGGAGCTTGTCAGCTTCTTGGGCGATTCAGGAGGAACTATTGTCAATCCATGTCATTACAGGTGGTTAAAGCCCTTTAATCACCTTGAACACTGAACTCAGCAAAACCCCAACCGGAAGATTCAGGCTAGGTCCCTACAAGCCTCTAATAAGAACACTGAACCACATGTTTTAGGGGTGCTTCTATTTAAAGACATCTTTGCAAGTACCTGTCATTAACTCCTGAACATTGAATTGCCGCTGGCAGCACCTCACTCCTGAACCAAGTTTGACACATGTAAGTTTCTACATAGCACACATCACAGCCTTCTCCCAGGTAAGAACACCAGGCAGCACTTGGCTTGGAATGCCTCGCAAAATTTAAATGCCTTTAAACAGCAAAATGACAAAACGTGCATGGAACACAAAAATGCAAAGACAAACACACTAGTCACTAAACGGACCGTGCAAAGGATGCTACTTTCCAGCATGAAAGTTGAAACAAGGAGGATTTCGACCAGGAACTCGGCCTTGGGAAACTCCAGTTTTTCAATGCTCTGTGCTATCTCTGAAGAAGGGCCATAAATTTCTACAGATATTGACTCCAGGACCACATGCAAAATTTTGGCAAGTAGGCAAATTTGCAAATATAGACACTCCAGAGAATGAGAACTGATCGTGTATGGTAAAGGCTAAAGGCATTGGTTTTTGCTGCAGCCAAACACATATGTTGAGTCATAGCCCCACAGCTAATCCGTTACATGAATTTGAGCAAGTTGTTTGAGCTCTAGTTCCTGTGGTTTCCAATGGGGATCATTTTATCTACCTCCTCTAGTCATAGAACTATTTTGCGGATGTGAAAGAGATAATATACAAAAGTACTAAGCATGGGTTCTGGCACACTTGTGTCCGACACATACCACACACAGCTCTCCAACTACTTCAAACACAGGTGTGTACCGAATTTGGCACAGCAAAGAGACTGCCTGAGTCTCTCCAACGCCACCCAAACACCATGTTCAAAATGATGGTGCTGAGGTCAACCCTGCTTTCTCTTTTGTCCCACCCAGGTCCATCCTCCCATCTTATCACTTCTCAGCCTGTCCCAACAGCGACCCCTCAGTATACACTCCAGGTCCTCTCACCAAGCCAACCTCAAAGCAGAAGCCCACTGGTGAGGAAGAAACACCATCCCAGACAAATCACCTGGTGAGAAGCATTAAAATTATAGAGAAGGTCATGTGATGTTGACCATGAACCTCAAGAGAGCACAGTATGAAATAGGGACTGGATCCACAGGGCTGAAATCCACCATGCCAGTGGCCCTCACACTTCCCAGCGCAGAATAATAATCCCAGTAGACTGTAAATGCAGATTCCAGGGCCTCCCTCTTGCGTACCTGATTTTGGGAATCTGAATTTCTAACCATCTTCTTCCGTAGACTCTGCCTACTGGTGGTCCAGACAGCTCCAAGCCCGGCAGTATGTGCCATTTCCCCAGGTCACAGAGGCAACAAGGTTAAAGGCCAAGGAGTTGAGACCAGGGGCCACAAGGATTCCTGTCCCGGTTTTGTCACCCACAGTTACCCATCTTTGCTGAGTTGCATCTTTTCCAGTCGTACAAATGAGTTAGTCTGATCTCTCAGGAACCTTTCACCATGAAAGGTTATGAGACATACCCATAAGATGGAACGGGTAGGTGCCCTGAGCTTAGTTCACAACACAATTGTGAGACTGAATGGAATAATAAAGATGAAGCTGTTTCTTTAAAAACTGCCAAATGCCGTAAAAATAAAGAATCGTTACAGAGAAAGGTGGATTTCACTAACGCTGGAATTCCATCCAAGATGTATTTAGAAAAAAAGTGGGCAGGTAGAATTCATGTTGGAGAAGAGGTTACAATTGCAACAATGAATTTAAATAAAAATAAGATCCTGAGTGCTACTCCTAAATACGCCAAAAAGCATTTTATCCAAGTGTATCGAGATGCTCTCCAGGTAACAATTCCTCATGTATAGAGTTATTTTCACAATTTCACAGAGAGAGAAGATAGAAAACAAGCCAGGCTATCTGAATTATATACATGTATAGAGAAAGAGAAATAATTTGCACGGTGTATAAAGTGGGCTACAATTTTATAAAATTCAAAGAGCTAGATAAATAGAAGACACAGTTCCGTGCCATTAACTTTGCAATAAACACATGTCATTAACTTGGTAAGGATATGCTCCATCTTCCAGATAGCAAGGTGCAAGGGCATTCTGATCAGAACCTTATTTACTTTCAATAAATTCTGCCTCCACAGCTTTCACATTTCTCAATTGGGAAAACACGTTGGCTCCTGAAGCTGAGGCAGTGACCAGAATGTACCTCCCTGGGGAGCTCAGACTGTTTCCTTATAAGCTGAAGGGTCTGAATTTCTGGGAAAATCAAGCAAGGACATTAAGGTTTTGTCCTTGCACAAGAAGCAGAGCACAGCTCTGTCTCAGCAGGGTCTGGATCCAGGAAAGATGGTCATGGAATAATGTGACTTTAGTCAACTGTCCTTAGAGAAGAGGGAGATGGCAAATACACACTGGGCTCCAGTTTCACGCTAGATCCAGTGCTGAACATTCTACCTATGGAATCCATTCAGTCTGTGCAACATTCTCATAAAAAATACTGTTATTCCCACCTTACAGGTGGAGAAAATCCAACTTAAAGTTACATGACCAGCAGAAGTTCTCTCAGTAGGACACAAGTCCCGTGCTGGCTTCCTGGATTTAGGAGTATACGGGAACTTGGGAAATACTATAGATTTGTCAAAGGACTTGCAGTACTTTGGAGGTCGAGAATTTTTTTCTTTACCATTTACTGTAGAAGATTTCACACACATACTCAGAATAATCAAACAAATTTCCATGTGCTCATGCCCCAGCTTCACCAGGGACAAAAGCCAGGCCACATTGCTTCATCCAAATCATCACCTAAGATCACCACTGGGTTCTTTTAAGGTAAGGTAACATCCTGTCATGTTATCCACAAACTCATCAAGGTGTGTCTTTATTTTGATAGAACAGCCATATCATTATCACCCCTTTCAAATTTAACTATGGCTCTTGAATATCAGACAATACCAAGAGGTTATATTCCAATTTCCTTGATTTCCTTTCTGCAATTGTTTTTGCTTCAATCAGGCACTCATCTTGATCCACCTTAGCATAGCACCTGTTCCTGTTTATATCCACTACAGCCTTTATGGCATGCTGTTTGGCTGCCTTTATTCTGTCTCCACATGCTGATCTGGATACACAAGGCACATCAGCTCCCCTCAACAGAAATGCACTAAATAAAACTGTAATGAGAGGCAGATCCTTAGCTGTGCATCCTTGTCATTTTGCACATCCAGTGACCTTCATCCTCTCGCTCTCTGGCCTTGCTTGCCATGTCTGTGCAGTGAAGGGTCAGAGCCATCGCCCTCTTGGTGTAGCTTTCCCTTGTCTAATGAACCCCTATTTGAAAACTGGCACCAGTATGGTCCCAGGATTTCTCTTTTACCAACCTCATTGGCATTGTCTTTCCTCCCCGTCAACTCTTCCCAAGCAGATCTGAGTGTTCTCTGCTCCATTCCTGCAGCACCCAGTCCAGGAAATACTGACTGACTCGTTCCCCTGCCTCCCTTCACAGAAACCACATATCCTGCCATTGATTTTGAGTCCTCCCATTTTCCTCCTGTTTAAGATAAGGTCAAGTCCAGCCTCACCTCATGACTGTTAGATAGAATATTTAAACATTATTCTGGAATTTTAATACTCTTATGATTATTTAAATGGGTATTATGAAAAGTGGCTATTATTAAGGAGGAAACTAAGTAAAGCAGAACCAAAAGTAAGAAGATTAAAGAAAAAAATATTAAGTATGCAGGTATTGTGTCATCTGACAAGAATCACGGGTACACATAGGGCAAACACTGAGCCCAAATAAAATCTTTCTTTCCAGTGGCATTTCACTGACTCCCATCAGACCCAGCTAGACTTAGTCCTCAAAGATAGCCCTATCTTTACCTGTGAAAGTCCTCATTCTAGTCATACTTCTGCTCTGAATCTTGCACCTATTCTTCCCAAACATTCATGTCAACAACTCAGTGTATGACCTTTACAAAGTCGCTTACCTTATGTACCATTGCTACACCTAGGAAACGTGGATTCTAACAGGATTCAGGATCACCTCGTGTGTATTGGGCATATTGTACAATGCCTAACCCTGGATAATGCCAGTCACAAAAGTTGTGACAGGGCATCCACACCATCATTCACAGAAGCCTGGCTAACATTTGCCCTACTTGCTTTAGAAGGTTTGCTGTAAATTCAAAAACAAATGGGGAATCTATAAAATTTTCTTTGTTTATAAAGAGCAGACAGCAAGAAACTGCTACTATGTTCATAAGAGAAGTCACTTAACACTTCCTTAGAGGAGAATGTGATAAAACAAGAAAAAAAATGTCACTGATTGATCACCGTGTATCATAGGATTTGATAATTTTCCCATAACCATATGTAATATCTCACTCAAAAAGAAAACTGGCTTGGGTCTATATATAATTATATAGCTGGGAAGGAAACAAAGCCAAATTTTAAGCCAGAATATTTGATCCCAAACTCTACACTCATTCTTTGACACCCCTTGTCAGGAGAACTGGAACAACAAACATCATATAGACAGTGAGGCTTAGGAAGTCCTTGCCAATGAATAAATCCATAAAAATGCACTGAGGTGTCAGGATGAAATATTACATGAACTCATTAAGATTCTAACACTTTAGACCAACATGACTGACAATGTCTTTAGCTTAGTATGCTTAGTGTTGTTTGTAAAACCAAATCCTCATTTCACTTCCTATTTTAAAACTTTAAAATAGTCCC